CACAAATGATAGCAGTGAAATATTCTATTGTGGAGTATCCTTAATATTTGCATGTTAGAAAATTGCATAATTTGTTAACTTCTTAACTAACAAGGTATAATAATAAAGTCCATACATACTGTGTACATATGACCAAATGTGGTTGTGATGACCGCCAAGCAATTTTATATTAGATAGCATCAAAATTAAAAAACAAAGTTAGAGAAACATATACATATTTGGGCAATTAAAATAATCGTATATGTAGAAACAATGTTTGGCATTATAATATCATATTCAAAGGCAATAAGCTAAAGCAAATGCATTGGATTCGATAAATGGAACATTTCAAAACTCATATACAATGCTGCCATGTTTGATGCAAGAGTTGAAAGGAAAAGATAAAAGACGTGTGACACATTGTACTAAGCGATGATTCAACATTTTTCATGTTTCCTTTGGACATGTATTCACACTTTTCATAAAAGTATATGTTTGGCATATATGCTACAGATACAACATCATCTTCTCAGAAAATAGTTTTTTTTTGTTTAAAAACGTTGCTGCCAAGTATGATGTTTCCTGGAGCAACAATCACACCTTCTGTGTAGTACCAGTGGTCTATATTTGTTTTTAGCACTGGTACTCATTATTTTAGGAAGTCCATGTCACTGCTACATCATGTCATCGTTGATAGTAACGGGTTCGAATATGAGAAAATGTCGAATTTGACGTTTCTCCAAACCACGCCTTATCGATTTTCAAGGCGTGGCTTGAAGCACTGTTTTCTTTTTATGGATAAATGGTTCCAAACATATTGATGTTTCTTGGAGCATTGATTTTTCTAATGTGGCGCTAATGTTTCACAATTTTTCTAGAGCAACACCATTGATGCCAAATACCGCAAAATCTAGCGTTGATTTTGTTAATTGATAGGACACATCTAAAGGGTTCTATGTACTTTATGCTTTGTTAATAACTTATGAAGTTGATGGGAACAATGGTATTATTCTAGTTGCATTTACAATAGTTAAGAATAAAAACAAATATTCTTAGAAGTGATTTTTACCTTACATTTGATATTTTATCCTATCGTAGGAAACATTTTGGCCATATCTCACAATAATTATTGATCGACATTAAGGATTTTTAAAATGAGTTCCCAAGATGTTTCCTGGTTCACATCATAGTTTCTATTTCCATCATATTTCAGAGAATTTTTGGGATACATTCAAATATGAGCCATTATGAATTTTGTTTTGAGTAGCAACACATGAATTTACTATTAAAAAATGTGATAAAATCTTAGAAAATAATAAATAATAAAAATTCTGTTGAATGGATAATAAATCTTGAAAAGAGATAATGGATAAGAGCCTATTTGAATGGAGACATGTACAATATAGACACAACAAACTTGTTTGGAAGTTTTTATTTGAATTGAAAGAAGCACATCCAAAACAATAATGAAGGAAAAACGTTGTCAAACATCTGAAATGATAAACTCCATTTATTGAGAAGTACATCCAAAAATGTTGGAATGGATATATGACAAGTATAATATATATAAAAAAAGGAAAAAATGAAACATTATTTAGATTGCCAAGCATCTGAAAAGATAGTCACATTTGTCTATACTTAGAAGCATAATAGAGTTAATTAATAAAAAAAAAATCATTTAAAAATCCATTTTGTTTTCCTTTTGAGCCCATATTCTTTTTTTGTATGAATTGATTTGAGATTATGGCAGAGAATTTTCCCCTAGTGACACTTCATCAACTGAATGTGAAGTAGCAAGATCAACAACACGATTGCAAATTTTTTTTTTCTTATTTTGCCTCACATGTATTGGATTATTCGATTGAGGTTCAACTTCATTACATGTTTCATTCTTAGTTATGGATACACATGCCAATGAATCACTAACATCCAATGCTTCATTGCTTATGCTCATATTCTAAATTTGCAAACAATACTAGCATATGGAGAAGGTGCTTCAATGTCTTTTGCTAAAACAAAATATAATAAATGCCAATTCATTATTTAAGAATTTATTCTATTACTAAATGTCTTTTACTAAATAAACTAATAGGTTAAAATAATATAAGAATTTATTCTATTACCATGACATTTAATTAAGTTTGCAAAGACTCCACTTTTGTTTAATCATAACCCTAGTTTTTCATAGAGTATACTTCTTGGTCCACAAAGATGATGAATTCATTTGTATGTTATCTGATTAAACCATTTTTAACGAACAACCACTTGAATAGGAACATCTAAGTTACAATGATTAATTTCGTTTGCCAAGGCATTCCCCATGTCTATTTAATCTTTCATCTTAACAATTCAATATTTTGTTCCATGTAGATCAACTTTATCTCATTTACGCACATTAATAGGTATGAGATACTTTGCCCAAAGTGTATCATGCATCTATTGAACAAGCGTCATTCCATGATATTAAAAACACTAGGCATGTTTGTGCATGACCATAAATCTCTGCCTATAGTTCTCCATATTCGTTGTTGACGAAAGTTCTTGGTAGGTTATGGATTTGGACCCAAATGCTTTATTCCCATAGTTGAATATTCTTACCATCCCTCACATCCTCCAACTTGAATGGAATAACCATGGTCCTTCCTCAAAAGCTTTGGTCAAGTCTTCTTTGTTTTCAAAATAGAACTCCCAACCATCGTCTGTTGGGTAGACCTTGACTTTCCCAACGGGCTTCTAGGTATTGGCAACAAAAACTTTGACATTTTCTATAGTTGCATGTAATATTGGGAAGATCCTTCCACGTAGAGTTTTTCTGAACAATTTGATGGCTTCTTTGAGAGGCTTTAACTTGTTTCCATAGTTTACACCCAGAACTGTGACTAATTTGGCAATATATTATTCTAAGAGGGAAATATTGATTTTTTTCTCTTGAGGGCTCAGCTTCTTTCCATGGGTTGGGCGGGGGGGAAGGGAAGAAAACATAGCATGGCTGGGAAAGGGCACTTGGAAGGGGAAACATGATAAACCAGAATAATAGCAGTGGGAGATGAATAGCCAACTTCTTAGCGTGCAACTGTGGGTTGGGTTTCAAAGTTGGGTAGGAGTGGTGTTTCTCAATCTGAGATGATTAATTAGATATTAGAGATAAAGAATAAAACCCCAAATCACTTGAAACCAAGAGAAAGATGCTTGAGCCTCATTACAATTTTTTTGGGTGTGCTTTTTAATAAAAGGGTGCTTTTGTTATTGAAAAGTTAATGTTTACTCCCACATAGGGGTGGATTCGAGCCGAGCCGAATAATACAAGGCTCGAGTCAAAAACTCGTAAGCTCGAGCTCGGCTCGAGCTCAACTTGAGAAAAAATGTTTTATAAAAATAAAAAGTATATATAAAAATATATTTTATTTGATAGTTAAAAATTAAGAATTATAATAATTAGTTATTATTATATATAAAATTAAAATATTATATATTATTTTATATTTTATTATATATAGTTATTCAAGCTCGACTCGTGAGCCTCATGAGCCGAGCTATATTAGGCTTGAGCTCAGCTCAATTATTAAACGAGCATATAAATTGGGCTCAAACTCAGTTGAAACCTAGTCGAGCTGAGCTCGAATAGCTTGTGAAGAGCTCGATTCGTGGCCACCCTCCCACATCATTATTTTTTAAAACACAACCGACTCTATTAATCGACCAAACTTTGTCATTTATTTTGCAAAAGCACCACACACTCTCTCTATTTCCAAAGAGGCTCTTGAACTCTCTTGAGGTTTCGTTTCTTTTTTGTTCTTTGTCCACCGTAGAGTTGTTTGTTAGGGGTGACTCCCTTCGGGAGTCCCCCCTTTCTCCGTTATTTTGTTCTTATGTTCTCCATTTCTCCCCTATTCTCATATGTTATTTTGTTATCTATTTTTGTTCTCCATCTGTTATTTTGTTATCCTTTTATGTTCTCCATTTCTCTGTTCGTTTGTTTTTCTATTCTTCTCCCATTCGTTCTTTTGTTTTCTATGTTTCTCCTTTTGTTATCTCTGTTCTCCTATCTTCCTTGCTATATTTTTATGCTTTATTTCTTTTTGCGGGCATTTTGATATGGAGTTCTTTCTCTAGAATCCTTTTTGCGATATCCACTAGTGGAAGTTGCTTCACGTATTGCCGCTTTCGGCAATTTAGATGGCAGTTACAGTTCTCCGATGTCCTAGGTGACAGGTACAATTCTCCGACATTATAGATGGCAGTTAAAGTTTAATGGCATTGTGGATGGATGTTACAGTTCTCCAGCGTGTTGGATGGTAGTTTGCAGTTGACAGTTATCCGATGTATTGGATGGTAGTTTACAATTATTGGCTATGCCGTCTTTTGCGGATTAGATTGAATTGGTTGGAAGTTACAGATTATGACTTTTTGGATTTGTAACCTCCACTCTCAGATATCATCTTTGTTGGAAACCTCTCATGTTAGTTACACTCTCCTTATAGTGGTTTGGAGATATACTTATCCACTTGATGATTTAATTCATCTTACTGTGGCTTGAAAAGTTCTTCAGATTCTCCTTCATCCATCTCTTTATTTTGTTATTGTTAAGAAATTGTCTTTAAACTTTAATTGGTCTTGCTGGCATCTATTTGTATCAATATCTTAAATTGAATGAAATATATTTGAAGTCTTAAAACAAATTCGAATTCTATCCGTTTACACTTTACACCCGTAAATTAAACGTCACCTCAACCTTAAATTCAATGCTAGTGACGTGTCCACAGAACGAGCGGAAAGCTGGCCGTTGGGTGCTCGGAAGACAGAAAGGAGCGAAAACAAACTAACCGTCTTCACTATCACGAGACTTGAATGACGTGGCAAATAATTATTGGACCGGTACAATATATATATATATATATATATATATATATATATTTTTTTTTTTTTTTAGTAGAAACATCTAACATCTCATTCGGTTTATAAGAAGAAAAACTATTTTCTTTTTTGGAAAGAAGAAAAACTATTTCTACCAATAAAAAAGATTATAATCCGATGGATTTTAAGCACTGCAAAATTAGGAATTTATGATGATCTATTCCCGCCAGGACTTGACACGAGGACCGGTGAAGGTGCTGCAATGGCGCCACCTGCTCAGTTCTCTTCAATGGATTCAATCCTTTAGCCGTTTAGCGCTTACGTGCGCAGTGTTCATTTTCCATTTCTGGTACCGGTGGAAGCTTCCACAGTTCCACGGTACACCGTTTAGTATAAAAGGCAATCTATTGAGAACACCAGTTTGGTGATCGATCAACGAGATTAGTAAAAGGAGAAAAAAATGGAGCCTCAATCACAGTCTTCAACATTTCTAGGGTTCTCCGTTCTTCCTATTTCGATATTTTCGGTTTTGGTCGGGGGTTCTCTCGTTCTTCTTTTCTTCGGTGATTACTTCCGGAAGAAAAGATCCGAAGTTCAAACTATCGCAAACCCTGAACCCACTGCGGCTCAGATTCCTTTAAAGTCTCCTCAGTCAACACCCAGGAAACTGCGCTCGAAATCTCACTCTCATGCCACCGAAAAGGTTTAATGATGACATTTGTTATGGACACACCGCCCGGCAGCACGCCCGGGCCCATAACAACATTCCTGAACTTAACATTCATCATTTTATATTTAGATGTTCTATATCTAAAATTTACGTGCAACATACCAGGATCAAATCAAACGTCATCATCCACTGGATGCAAATACTCTGAAAGGTCATGGTGATTCAGTTACAGGGCTATGCTTCTCATCCGATGGCCGGAACTTGGCGACTGGTAAACTTTAATGTTATCTGTATATGTAGTTTACAATTTTAGAATTATGGGGCTATGCTTTAACCCAAATGCAGATAACTATTTGACTTATAGCGTATCTTGGGTACCAATGGATACCATGTCTACATTATAGTGAATAGGCAATTGGCGCCCATGCATTTTAATTATGGTATTCGATTGACATTTTTTCTGTTAGTTTGTAGTTTGCAGTGCCATAAGCCTTGTTTACACAATTTCTTCTTTAACCAGAGAAGATTCCGCAAGCAAGCTTGATGTCACGTTTCTTTTCAGAAAAGTTCACAAGTTCCATAAAGGCATTGATAACAGTTGGGGAGGGTTGCTTTTACATTTTGATGGCACACTTGATTACTTCAAGAGAGCGCTCTTATTTTATTAACTTGTTAACTCCGCTGGGCGAAAACATTCGAATTAACTCATTTCGTGTTGCTTTAAACGCCTCACTTTCTGTTGCCTTTTCAGTTCATTTGATAGAGAAATGGCGTCCAATTGTACTTAATCAGTCATCTTCAAACTTTTGCCTCCCAACTCATCTTTCATACCCATCTCATACTTGTCATATTTTGAAGATTTACTTTTGTTCCCTTTACCTTAATCCACCCCTTCTTTTAATCACCATAAAAGGAAGGTTGAGGGTTCTATAGTGTTTTTGGTCGTAAATGCTGCATTTTTAAGGGTAGTCAATTGGTTCATTTTGGTTACTGAAATTTGAGACCTTTATGCAGTCTCATAGTTACTTGATTTCCATCATTTCATACCGCCATTTGTTTTGTGAGAACTACCATGAACAGAATCTTTGCTATATCAGTCAAGATTGTTATTTTTGTTTGGGGTGGCATTTATATGGAATTAGTTTTCTTGTTATTAAAGTTGCTACTTTGCCTTGCTTGTAAAGTCTTCATGTGTTGTGTTATGCACGTAGATGCTGGGAAAATGCAACACTTTCACGTACTTGAGTGATTGAAGCAAGGAGTGCACGATGGTGACAGTTATAGCCCACGAGGAGTTCTGCTACTATAATTTAGGAAGTAGTTATTTTGTACTTTGTTTTTTTTAGTTATGTTGGAGTGTGTTTCAGTTATGTAATCATGTATATAGCCAATTATGAAAAGTATATCTCCCTTGAGATAAACCTTATTCTTCTTGATCTCTGCGAGCAAGTGTTTTCTAATTCCTAGGCACCTTAACTTGAGGTGAGAGAAAGCGAGCTTCATGAGAGAAATTGACCATAAAAAATTGGTATTGGAGCATTCTGATCTTGTCATGGCTAAAGGTACCTGTGCAGATCAAATAGATAAGGATATTAAATCCTTACAAGCATCAGTGCAGGAGTTACAAGCAACTTCCATCCAAAAAAATATTGTGACAAATTGAAAGTTTAACAGCTAACTCCAGTGATCCAAACAGGTCAACTGGTAAGAATGTTGGACATGAAGCCTCTATGACAAGTGCCAGTCAGATCTTTGGCATGAACGGCAGTATTCATACTTGAACCATGAATATGAATTTCCCTCGGTTTGATGGCAAGATTCCTACTGGATGGTTGTTCAGGCCAGATACTATTTTCAATATCATGAAGTTCCTTAGGTTCAATGGGTCAGTATTGTTTCGTTCAATGTAGAAGGTGATGCTTTTGAATAGTACCAATGGTATGAATATGATGATTACCAACCCAACCCGACTTGGGACAAGTTTGTTGAGGCAATGGATGCTTGATTTGGTCCTTCATGAAGTGAGGACTTTGTTGGTTGTTTTTCCAAGCTTACACAAACTGTAACTGCCTTAGAGTACCAAAAAGAGTTCCAACGGTTGTCTAATTAGGCTAAAGGGCTCTACAAGAGCTATTCAATAAGTTTGTACATCAATGCGCTCATTAGGTGTCCATATAATGGCTCTTGTAGATTTACTAATTGCTTTTAGCCTTGCTTTCGTACAAAAATAAGAAGTCAATATGAGGTAGCGATCCACCAAGGTTGATATCTCTCAACCCAAGAACAATATTCTAACCAATGTATTGAAGTTCATACTAGCTATCACCTGATTACCCTGACAGAAGCTATAGAGAGAAGAGAAAAAGGTTTGTGCTATCACTGTGATGAGAAGATTAGTCCCACCCATTGTTGCAAGACCCAACGACTATTTTGGGTAGGACTGTTCAAGAGGAGACTTACTTGGATCATGAATCTTATAATTGGGTTAATGACTCACCTGAAATATGCCTACATGCCATCTTGGATGTCAGAACTCCTCAGATTGTGAGGTTATGTGGAACCATTAATAGCTTACTTCTTACTATTCTTATTGATAGTGACAACACACATAGCTTCCTTGATTCAGTGGTGGCCTGGCAAGCAAAGGTACTGGTTCAATCAGATGCTTGTTTTGAAGTGATGGTGGCTAGCCGGGAATGGTTGAAGCATAGTGGTAGATGCCGAGTAGTTTTGGTCCAATCTCAGGGTGTCCCAGTCCAAGTTTTTTTTTTTTTTTTTTTTTACTTTCACTTGGAGGATGTGATGCCATCTTAGGTGATCAATGGTTGAGAACCTTGGGCCTGGTGGTTTGGGACTTCTCCAAGCCCTTTATCAACTTCTAGCAGCAAGGCGAAAACTATCAATTGCGAGGGATTTCCTCTGCTTCACCTGAATTAGTAGACTCTACAATGCTAATTAAAGGAGCTAGAAACTGCAGTAAGCTCTATGCTTAGCTTGGAAACTGAAATCAAGACAGATGAGTTAGATCCATAGTTACAAAAATTGCTAGAGGAGTTTATAGAAGTTTTTCAAGAGCCTCAAGGACTTCTTCCACCCAAATCTCATGATCACCAAATCCCCCCCTCCCCCCCTTAAGGAAGGGCCAACCTCGGTAAATGTTTGACAATACCCTTACTTTCAAAAGAATGAAATAGAAAAGATAGTAAAGAGCTGCTGAAGTCAGGAATCATTAGACCTAGTGTAAGCCCTTTCTCATCTTCCATTTTATTAGTTCATAAACATGACGGTACTTGGAGAAGGCATATGGGGATTTTTATTGGAGGTAATGAAAATTTTTGGTTTTGGTAATCAGTGGTGTAAATGGATTCTGGGTTGTGTTAGGACTTGCCACTATTCGATCTTGGTGAATGGTACGGTGGTGGATAAATTTTATCCCTTAGGGGATTAAGACAAGGAGATCCCCCTCTCTCCCTTCCTTTTCACTCTAATTGTTGATATACTTGGGAGGCTAATTATGATCGCTGACTTTAGAAGTTTAATAAGGGGTTGGAGAGGATGAAGTACCACTCAATTGCAATTTGATGATGATAAAATCCTTTTCTATGAAGGAGGTGACTTGCGATGGTTGAGGAATTTAAATAGATTGTACAAATTTTTGAGCAAATGTCCAATTTGAAAATCAATTCTAACAAAAGTTGTATTGTGGTTTGAACATGAAAGAGAGGGAAATAACATAGGGAACAGAAATCTTGGGTTATGTTGTTCCTCAATAGCCTATGACTTATTTGGGTCTATCTTTGAGGGATAATTTGAGAGGTAGCAACTTTTGGAACCCAGTGGTTGAAAGGTTTACAAAGCAATTGACTTTGTGGAAAAGCAATTATTTATCTTTGGGAGGAAGGATAACTTTGATTAGGTCCACATTAGCCGGCCTACCTACTTACTTCATGTTGGTGTTTAGGATTCCACAAGGGGTTAGTAGAAAGCTAGAAAAGCTGATGAGGGATTTCTTATGGGAGCAGGGGAGGAAAAAAAGGATCATAAGGTAAGTTAGGAGATGGTCGGTAGGAGTAATAAGTGTGGTGGCCTAGGTATTGGGAATATTTAGGAGAGGAATATTGCTTTATTGGTTAAATGGTTGTGGAGATTGCCAAATGATAGAGATAAATTGTGGGCAAAGGTGGTCATTAGCATTCATGGATTTGTGATTGAAGGCTAGGACATTGGAGTTAATATTAGGGCTACAAGATCTTCTCCATGGAATCCATTCATGCCATCCTACCTTCTTTCTTTTGTTTTTTTTTTTGATTAGCAAAGAAAAATTTTATTAATAAAGGGGAGCCAATTACAGAAATATAGAAGAAAATATAAAACAAACAATACATCACACAGTATTACAATAAAGCCCCAAAAAAGCTGTTGCATGTGAACTCCTTATTTGGCTAATGAATTGATCATCCCATTTGCAGTCCTCCTAACTCAACCATCCTACCTTCTTTCTTGCCATTAATCAGGTATAATCCCTGCTCTGGAATATTGTCAAAATTTGGGAACATGTTTGGTTGGGCAATTCACCCTTAAAGGAACAATTCCTATCTTTTTTTGTCCTATCTAACCTAGGGGTGCAAATGGATCGGAACATGGTCCGAGATTTGATCCTATTTGGTTGAATTCAGGTCTTCTAATAGGATCGGATCAGATCCAATTAGAAATCGGATCGGATTCAGATCACCCCTATCCGATCTGAGAAGATCTGATCCGATATGTATTATATATGTACAAATATAAATAAATATATATAATACATATATATTATTTATTTATTTATAAATATATTTTTATAAAATTGTTATATTATTTATTTTTTTTATAAAAAATGTATATCTATGATGAAAATAATTAAAAGTACTTGTATTTTTTGTTTTTACTCTATTTAAATTAGTATATTTTATTTTTCTTTTAATAATTTATTAATTTTTAAAGAAAACAAGTCGGATTGGATCAGATCCGAAGATCTGACTTACCGATAGGATTCGAATTCAAATCGAGCCCTATCAGGTCCACTTCTTCAATTTGAATATAGTTTCTCTTTTTGTTTGGGCGTAGGTGGAACTCCCTACCAAATGTACAAAACATGTTTTCCTCGAACTTTGTTAGCTGGCCAAAGAAGAGGAGAGAACTCTTTGGAGGTGTACAAGGGCGGATGTGTGTTAGACGATTTGGAAAGAAAGGAATCAAATAATCTTTTCAGGGAAGGAGAGAAGCAGGGGCCCCTTAATTGGATCATTATCCTTAGAGTGGTCCATTGGGTGAAGTCCTTGAAACTCTCTGAGGACTTTCTTACCAGTGATTTGATGAGGAAGTGGCTTCAAGCTGCTGCTTCTTCTCTTTTAAGGTTGTTATTAGGCCATCTTGATCCCTACCTAATGGTGGCTTCATAAATCTGAATTTTGATGGTAGTAGTGAAGGAAATCTGGGTCCTTAAGGTATTGGAGGAGTTTTTAGGGATGATGAAGGAAGAGTTATTGCTCTATTCTCTGTTCTGATTGGTGTGGGTGACTCACTGAGTGCTGAAATAATGGGTGTGCCGGAAGGAGTGCAAAAAGCTAAGGAATTGCTTATCTGTAAATTGGTGATTGAAGGGGACTCAAAGTTGGTTATAAATTGGCTGCAAAAGGAAGATGCTGGTTGGTGGGGCTACATCTATGGGAGAAGGAGAATTAGAAGGCTGTTACAAGACATGGAGGTCATCCTACAATCGATGAAAAGAGATGCTAACTCCTTTGCTGATTCTTTGGCTAAACAAGGGGTGGGAAGAAATCAACTTTTTTTGGGTAATGCTGTAAATAATCATATTTCTAATCTCCCCATTTTCATCATTGTACTTGTTTTTAATTTAATGAACTATTTCAGTTATTGATAAAAAAAACATGACAGTACTTGGAGAATGTGTGTTGACTATAGGGCCCTTAATCAACTCACTATTAAAGGCAGATTTGCCGTGCCCGTCATTGATGAGTTACTTGATGAATTCCATGGATCATGCTTGTATAGTAAGCTGGATTTAAGATCTGGATACCATCAAATAAGAGTTAAGGACTCATTAAGGCATTCTAAGTTCTTAGTAATGCTGTTTGGTCTCTCAAACACACCTACCTTCTAGAGCTTGATGAACGAGGTCTTCCAATCATATCTGAGGAAATTTGTGCTAGTATTTTTTGATGATATATTGGTTTACAACATCACTTTTGAACAATATTTCCAACATTTATGTTTTGACACACTAGAAGTCTTGCGAGCTCACAAGTTATATGCCAAAGTTTCCAAATGCAGATTTGGATGTTGAGTGGTTGATTATTTGGGGCACACCATCTTTAACCCAAGGAGTATCAGTGGATCATTGCAAGGTGGAATGTATGTTGCAGTGGCCATGGCATACTCCAATTAAAGCTCTATGGGGATTTTTTGTCTTATCAGATATTATTGGAAATTTATCATGAATTATGGGAAATAACCACGCCATTGACTGCTCTTCTCAAGAAAGATGTTGGGGAACAAGGAATCAAAGCTAACCTTCAATTAGCTGAAGGAATCTATGACCTGTGCACTGGTGTTGGTTTTGTTGGACTTTTCTCAACCATTTATGATTGAGTGTGATGCCAGCAGTAATGGGATTGTCCAGTCTTGGTGCGTCAAGTGAAACCTGATTGTTTATTTGAGCCACGCATTCCATGGTTGATTTCTCTCTCTCTCTCTCTCCACATACAAAAGAGAATTGTTACTCATTGCTATTGCAGTTCAAAGGTGCCGCCCTTACTTGCTTCGACAATACTTTGTCATCAAGATGGACCAGATAATTCTCAAATTTCCGCTGAACTAGAGGGTAAGAAGGCTTGGACGAAAATTTCCATGGACTTAATTGAAGGCTTACCATTGTCAAATAAGAAGTCAGATATCCTTGTAGTGGTAGATCGGCTTACAAAGTATGTGGTAAGCCCATTTCATACCCCTAGCTCTTCCTTACAGCTCCAGTAGTAGCTCGAATCTTGATGAGCAACATCTTCCATTTACATGGGATGCCACTCTTCATTGTTGGTGATCAAGGCTTGGTATTTACTAGTGTTTTTTTGGAAGGAATTGTTTAAAGTTCAAGGTACGACCCTCAACTTAACCTTTTCATACCATCCTTATCTTGATGGCCAAACTGAAATCCTTAACAAGTGTTTGGAAAATTATCTAAGATGCTCCGGTAGCTCTAGGCTGCATATATGGTTTTGCTGGCTACCCTTGGTTGAGTGGTGGTATAGCACCACCCACCATTCCTCCACCCAAGTCACCCTTCATCAAGCTATTTATGGAACCCTACTTCCCACCCTTTTATTCTACATACTAGGTGCCACAAAGGTTCAAGCTATTGAAGACAAGTTAAGGGACAAAGATCGGATTTTAGAATTATTGAAAGACAACTTGTGTAGAGCTCAAGAAAGAATAAAGTGGTTTGCAGATTGTTACAGAATGGAGAGAATATTTGAGGTTGGTGATTGGGTATATCTGAAATTGCAGCCATATTGACAAATTCCTGTTGCTATGCACAAACCCATGTAGCTGGCTGCATGTTACTTTGGGTCATATTAGATATTCATAAGATTGGCCCTGTAGCTTATAAACTGGCATTACCTCCTAGCTCCAAACTACACCCTGTTTTTCATGTTTCTTGCTTGAAGAAGAAAATTGGTTCCCATGCAGTTTCTAGTCCCACTTTATCATCTCTAACAGAAGTAGGCGTAATACAACCATTACTGGAAGCTATTCTGGGACATCAAATGGTCAAAGTGGGTTGTCAGACAGTTATAGAAGTCCTCATCAAATGGTAAAGAGCTCTGGAATCCGATGCAACTTGGGAGAGATTTTTGGTCTTAGAAATGAAGTTTCCCATTCTCCACCTTGAGGACAAGGCTGCTCATGAGGAGGGGATGTTGTGTACGTAGATCCTTGGTAAATTCAAAATTTCCATGTACTGGGGTGATTGAAGCAATGAGTCCATGATGTCGATGGCTACAACTCACTGAAGGAGTTCTGCTACTATAATTTTGGAATTTGCTAATTTTGTACTCTGTTTGTCTGTCATGTTCTCTGCTTTTTGGTTATGTTGGAATTTGTGTCAGTTATATAATCATGTATATAACCAGTTATGAAAAGTAATGAGACTATCAAAGTTTTCAACCCATTTCTTATAGGTGCTATCTCCCCTTGAGATAAACCTTATTCTTCTTGTTCTCTGTGAGCGAATGTTTTCTAATCATAGCTTGAGGTAAGAAGAAAAGCGCTTCACGAGAGAAATTGACCTTGACCATAACATGTTGTAATGAGACACTGGAAAAAAATATAGTTTGTAACCAAAATGATCTAGACAGCATGCACATTTTTTGTAATGTTGGACTCAGACCAGACTTCAACCTGCTAAGGCTGGCATGTCAGGTTGAATGGCCTGAATGTACAGATCAACTACCCAATTCATGAACTAAAAAAGAAAACAGAAATGTTCCTAAAAGTAGGACAAATATTGTTTGTCATGCATTGTGAAGTAGTTTATAATGTTTGGTCAAGCCCTATGGAATACGAGACAGGAGTCACAAGACATGCATAAAGGGCCTGGATGGCTGTCATATTGTCCAGTCCAGTCTGGTCATCCAGGTTTAACAATATTGTAAGTTTGTAAATCTCTTTTTTCTTTTCTGTTTCCTATGGCATTAGCCTTCATTTCAATGCAAGCAATGAAATTGGAACTTTCTGTCTACAGTTTGTGCAGATGGAGTGGTGAGGGTGTTTAAATTGGATGATGTTTCAAGTAAAAGCTTCAAGTATGACTTCTAGAAACACTTATCTTTACCTGTCTCTAAATGCAAATTAATTGATGTTTAATACATTTTCTAGTTGCTTTGCGATTCTATTTTCCATCTCTTCTGCAGGTTTTTGAGAATCAACTTGCCTGCTGGAAGTCATCCGACAGCAGTTGTCTTTTCTGATGGGGTATCAGATTTGGTCGTTGCTGCTCAAAGTCTATCTGGTTCTTCTTTATATATGTATGGAGAAGCAAATACCAAAACTACTAGTGAAACTAAGCAGCAACCCAAGCTTCCCCTCCCAGAGATCAAGTGGGAACACCACAAAGTCCATGATAAAAGGGCTATCCTGACTTTGGTTGGAACTTCTGCAAGTTATGGTACCGCTGATGGGAGTGCTATTATTGCTTCATGTTCAGAAGGTATGACATGATCTTCATTTGTAATTAATTTTACTTTTCTGTTATCAAGTTCAATTGATTTCTTCATGAATTGTCAGCTGTGTTACCTTTTCTAACTTTCAAGTTGAATGTGTATGAAATTATCCATCTCTCTCTCTCTCTCTCTCTGAAAATTTGTCATGTAGTGGGCCTTTACATTGTTTAGAACCTCAGGCACCCACTGAACATTTTGCTGGATACTAGTATGATTCAAGAATGATTATAAATGTCGTACAAATCCAGTGGCAATTACATAAAACTTGGTAATGGAGGATCCTTTACTGTGATTACATGGCACTTCTGATTCATACATAGAGCTTTTTATGCTGCTAGTCTTCAACATGGCTAATGTTAGCAATATATCACAAATATTGCCTACGTATGGATGTTTAATTAAGGGGCAACAAGAAGTAGAGTTGGAGTAGAAAAGAATGATGCCATTATGTTGCCATATCTCAAATATTTCAAGATTTGTGCATTGCATGGACTAACAATGTAATAAAATTCTATCACCAAAAAATAAAAAAAAACAATGTAATAAAATTCAAGTATATTTTAAAACAAGGAATTATCATTTGCATCAAAGCATTGAAGAAGGACATCGTGCAAAGTGTAAACAACAAAGATATACTAAATCAAATAATCTCACCAAAAAAAAATCTTAGATGGATTGGTATTTTAATGAAAGCCTTCATTAGAATCCATCATTTGTGAACCACTTCAGATTCTGACATTTCTTTCAATCCATATCAAGCTTGATATCTAAGTATTCCATTTTCTAGATAAATTTTGAACAAAGAAAGTTTCTTTTCTGTTTTGCATTTCTTGTGGTTTGATTTATCTGTCTATAGATATTACCCTAGGTAGATGTACATTTATATGTGAATACTCCAAGGTGAAAGCCTATGTGGCATTGGGAGAGAGAGGGGGCAATTGCATTTATATGTCATGACATGCATACATAAATGTATATATTCACACATTGATACTTTCATACATGTGTATATGTACATAGACGTGCACATACGTACAGATCTTTTTAATATATGTCTATTGGATGAAGACTTAAACTTTGATACCATTTATTTGTATGTTTTTGTCAACTTCTTTTTTGAGTCTTAATATTCTCCGAATTGTTATAAGTAGATCCTTTTAATGGTCCTCCAGCTTCTGATTTTATAAATTTGTTTTCTTACATACTTTGAAATTTCATTGAAAAATTTCACTTCTATGTTCCTCTGGTTTTTCATATATTGGCAAATGTTTGTGAAATGTTTCCAATTTTGAAAGGTGAAGGTTATAGTTAGTTCAGAATTTTAAATCTGTCTTTAATAAGTTATATACTACTTTTTAAAGCCAAAAATAGATTCTTTTATAGCAATAAAGAGATTTTTTTCCTAATATTCTTTTTATTTTGAAATGCAGAATTGTAAGATCATGGTGCTATACAATAATGCCACCTCAATTGTCTATAGAGGTTATGGACACCCATTTACCTAGGGGTGGAACTTGTCATCTATTGTTTAACAAATAAGATCATTCCTAGCCTGGCCCAACTGAGCCTGTGAATTTCTGAGCAGTATAAATTATATAATATTTTATATTATATAAGTATAACAAATTTTAAATATTTAAAATCTGCAGGCCTTGAAGCCTGGCAAGTTCTGCCCAGGCCTAGGCTAAGCCCTTTGCCCGCCTGGCCCATGATCATCTCTAAGTTGGAGTTGGTAAAGGGTAGATGGGTGAAATCTTCCTGACTTAGATGTAAACGACCTTTGAGCTTACTTGTTACAACATGTAAGGTTAGGGATACTCACCATGTTTACCCATATTTTAGAAAATGGGGAACTGGTTTCTTATATTACACTTGTGGTTGTTAATCCTTTTCGCAATTCATCCCAATTTACATGTCAATAATAGGTTGGGTGTAATACTTTGCTCCCTTGGATTATTTTATGTTATTACTGTTTATTTTCTCTTGGGTCTTGGATAGGGATGCCTTCATTATTACTTACTAGATGATTATTGGAGCATATTTGACCAATTCCATAGGAATTCCTTTTTTTTTAATACTCTCATTTGAATTTTATGTTTAATAATTTATTATTTTTAGGTACCGATATTATAATTTGGCATGGAAAGAATGGGAAGATCTTGGGGAATGTTGACACAAACCAGCTCAAAAATAACATGGCTACTATATCTCCAAATGGGCGTTTTATTGCTGCTGCAGCATTTACTGCAGATGTGAAGGTGAGCTGTACTATACCTATAATTTTGTTTAAATATTAGAATGCAGGATGAAGTGAGATGTATGCAAAGTTTACATTACATATCTAAAGCTTTGATGCAGCAGCATGTACTTGGTTATATCAATTTGAGCCTCTGTGGAAACCCAAAAAGAAGTTAACAAATTTAAAGAGAAGGAACAGCCTGAAAAAAGCCTTTTGACTTTCTTCTTGTCTTGTATGTATTTTACTTTTATTTCAAAATTACTATTTACAGTAACTTTCAGACTTAATATTTATAGTAATTCTTATAATTATTATTTATAGTAAAATCACAATGTATCATTTTTAGTAATTTCTGGCGCCTTTACATTAAGTTGGCTTCAGTAGGATTAGGAAAATGTTGTTAGAGTTGTTTAGGAGTTAGAGTCCTTATTCAAGTATCCCTACAGGTTACCTATGGGTTTGTATTAGTCTTAAAGCGATTAGAAGTTAATTTGGGTCAGTTTCATCCTAGTCTAAATTGGAGTTTGTAAAGGGACATCCGAGTTCATAAGTTGAGTCTATAAATAAAATCATTGTAATTGCAATTAAGCATGAATTGATTTGATGAAATAAAGTTTGGTTTAGCAAATTTGATTGTTCCAGGAATTTTTCTCTTTTCCTCCCTCTCTTATTTCTTCTTCTAAGTGATCTATTTCTTTATTGTTTATTATAAAAGCAAGAGTTCTTCTCCTTTTTTTTTCTTTTTTTTTAATTTCTTACTTATTCTTTTGTGGACAGCAAGCTGTCTATTTGCTTTTCCATCCATATTTTTCATCTTTAATACTTAAAGCCCCTTCTTCCCCCATAAAACCCACCGTCAGATCTTAAATTAGTAGGACTCCTACCCCCTCCTACATCAAGCTTCTACATTTTTTTTGTCAGTTTGGCTTGTATGTATTGATTTACATTTACATCACTTGTTAATATCTTGCTAGATCCGTTAGTTTAGAAAAACACAAAGTCTTGTTCTTGTCATGTGCATAGAAACTTCCATTGTTACACACTGTTAAATATATGCAAATTGTTTTTCCTTTTGTCCATGAGATATTATCTAGCATACCTACACTTACCATCATATTCACAGATAAAAGCATATGCCTTGGTTATCTGTATCATCATATCTTTATTCTACATGGTTCATTCATTCTTATTGTATTATGCATGGCAAAAAGTATAGTTTACAACTTTATATGGTACAGGGATGCTTTTATAAAGATGCACTAAAGATAGAAGCAAACCAGGGTTTTACATGTCTAAGGGACTGTGGTTAACTAGTGAAATATCTTGATTTTTTTTTAGATTTTCCAAATATCATATCAAAACTAGTGAAATATCTTCAAAATTTCTCCATCCCTACATGGAGAAAAGTCCATTGATGTTGAAATTGTGAACCATGACTATTACTATCAAATATCATCTCTAAACCTTCCCCTTGCCTGCTGTAATCCTTCTCCATTGAAACCAAACCATAAGCCCTTATTTTCTTTTTGAAATTCTTTGCCTTTTGCATAGTCGAGCATCTTAATGCTGATTGCTTATCAACTGTTTGACTTGAGTAGAAACAATACATGCTCCACATTATTCATTTTGATGGACGCCTCATGAACATCTCTGTTCATGAGCACTTGGGCTAGTGTCTTAAAAGGAGAAAATATTTAGAAGTCCTTGTGTATTTTGCTCAGTTTTTTGGTGGAAATGAGTCCTTCAAATAAGTAGAATCGCATTTAATTCTTACCTTACCTATCAGAAAAACAAGTTATTTTTAGTTCACTCAGATATCGGAGCTTCTTTAGGCACCTTCAAACTTGTTATGTCATATCCTTGATGATTTAATTAGCTTGGACATCCTGTTTATCTTGTTATTAAGCAGAGTAGATTGGGCTACTGTCGACAAGTGTGTTACATCCTACAGGTTTCTGTATTTGGTTGGTAATTCTTTTCAACGTTTATTGTTGACATAACATTATTAATTTGATTTAAATACTTTGTTGCTCAACAAATTACAGGATTCTTGTTTTTATCAATTTTGACAGTTGATCAGTTCAAATTTCTCTAATGGCCCATTTGGTTCGTGGGAATAGGGTTCTGGAATCAGAATCAGAATGGGTCATCCTGATTCCAACTGTTTGGTTGGGTGGAATCGGAAACCCATTCCCATTCCTGGTGGAATGGCATTCCCCCATTTGAGGGAATGGCCATTACCTCCCCCTCCCTTGGGAATGAAATCCCATTCCAATTCCTGTCTTAACCAAACAGACTATGGGAATAGACCATTCTGATTCCGGTTCCGATTCCAACTATGAACCAAACAGACCCTAAATATCTTAAGATGCTTATGTGCTAGAACATCCCTGACAATGACATATTTGATGTCTTACCATTCATGAATATGTACATCTTGCTTCATTTCTCAAAATGTCTTGTATGCTTGGGGAGGGGGGGGGGAGTGCAGATGAGAAATCATAAGGTTACTGCTGTCATGTTTTATTTAATATTATTGTTTTTCTGTATTCATCAAGTGATTGCCTAATTTGCATGCCAAGCTGTTACTGCTAGATCATTTTTAGGGTTTCGTGTTAAAGCTTTGACAAGTCTATCTATTGAAATAATAATTAAATTTTGCATATGATTTTTTTGGTCAAATTTACTTTTTCTAGGTGTGGGAGATTATATATTCAAAGGATGGGTCAGTTATGGAGGTTCTGAATGTAATGCAGCTCAAGGGACATAAGGTGAAATGTTATCTCAGTTACTTAATATGATTTTGGTTCAGACAAAGGCAGTCGTGAAGCTTTTCATTCTAAGCGTTTTACTTATTGAATATTTCTTAATTGAGCTTTTTATCTAGTTCAAAAATTGGAAATGAATATCTGTTGTATATATCAGCTTTTTTATTCTTATAGCCGAGATTTATTATATATGTAAAAAATTTATATACCCATGTTTGAGGTTTTGAGTTTAAAGATCATGTGACTAGCATTTACCTCATTACCTGAACTAATAGATTAAGCCACCGTTTGTTAAGTCATCATCATCTAAGCCTTGTCCCAACTATATAGGGTTGGCTACATGAATCCTTTTTCACCATTCTGTTCTGTTCAGTGCCATGTCCAGCACTTAATTATGAGTGCTTAAATAATTTCTTATTACTTCCACCCAAGTCCTTTTCGGTCTGCTCCTAGCTCTTCTAGCTCTTTCAACCTGTAATTGGTCTGGGGACCCATAACTTGGCATCTATCCTACATTTGAATTATCAGGATCAAACCATTCAATGGATCCTAGCTTGAAGATTTGTTGTACCAAAAGTTAGTTTAAAAATCTTATAAAAATGATATTTTGAAGCAAATATGTAGACAGTGTTTGAAAACTCTAAAAAAGATGGCCCTCAATGGCTACTTTTGGCCCAAGAAGATTGCAGCTGGAGCAGTGTTACATGGACTCTCCTAAATGGATGAAGTGTCGATGTTGGACACACATCAGACTCTGACACTCCATGGATTTTTGTAGGACACTTTATGTGCCATTTTCTTTTTCTCCTTGCTTATTCAACATAAATGAACAACTAATGTATACAATGATTGCCATTTTTCCTATAAAGTAACAAAAATAATCTTATAGACCCTTTTCTTTAGGTTTATAATGTTAAAATTCAACAAATTAATGCCCTTGAATCCTTGTTTCTTTGTCTTGTTGACTCAGACTCGTGGTTATGCGTTGGATTCTGATTCCTGTGTAATGTCCATGTAACCTGAGCTGGAGGCAGCATGGGTATCACGAAAAAAGGGGAAGGATAAAACTTAACCTTGATGGATTTTGTTTTGGTAATCCGTTGATTTGGTGCAAGTGAAGTAATTATTGACTGATTCTTACCTAGAGCAGATGGGGCCCTTAGGTTCTTGCTAAGAGGAACCATGTCATTGGCAAATCTGAATTGCTTGTTCAGGTAGACACCAAGATCAGGAAATAACATTGCTCGTGCACTAGCAAGACAAGGTCGCAGAAGTATGTTGCTTTATGAGATGTTGGCCCATGGGTGTTGTACTTGTCCTCTTGCCTCATCTTTTGAAACAAAGTGATAGAAATCGATCAGCACCCTTGAAGACTTATTCTAGAAAGAAGGCCTTACAACAGGTCATAATAGGGTTTTTTTTTGTTATTTTACAATTTTTCTGTATTGTCTATTTATAGTTTACTTGTGTTTAAAATTTGAGGGTCATTGCATATGTAGGATTAAAGTTACTGAGTCTTCTTTGAATTGAAATAGGATATGACAGTTTGGTTTGAGTCCTAGGATTATTATGACTCTAACAGTTTGACTCCTAGGATTATTATGAGTTTAGAGTCTATAAATATGTATGGACATTTTATACAAAGATCAATGGAGCTTATTGAGTTTTCTTCAGCTTGTGCTAATTCCCATACCCTAGAGTGGTTCCAGGTGTTTTCTGTCTTCTTTCTCTCCCTATTTTCTTTCTTATTCCTCCAAGAAGCCATTACAACCATCAACAGCCATAAATTTCTGACTAAAGAATGCCATTCAACATTCTCTAAGGACTAGAATTGAGCTGGTCCTACATCACAAGGGGTTCTCTTGATACATAATAAAATGTTGCTTTCTATTGCTGATAAAGAAAAAGGCTCTTAGAGGACAAGTGGAATGTTGGGGGGCCATATTGGGAATCTGTACCAATTTGCCATGTGTAGCATTCCTTGATCATTTAGCCTTCTTTTCTACATACATATCTATATCTATGTCTATATCTATGTCTATGTCTATGTCTATGTCTATGTCTATGTCTATGTCTATGTCTATGTCTATGTCTAAATCTAAATCTATATCTATATCTATATCTAGATATATGTATGTACATATTTGTATATATATGGACATTAAATAACTACTGATGTTTTGCACTTTCTTATTCTGTTGATTACCAGAGTGCTGTAACTTGGTTATGCTTTGCTCCAAATTCAGAGCAGATTATTACAGCATCAAAAGATGGCTCAATTAGAGTGTGGAATATCAATGGTATGATTGATTTAATGATTTTTAATCATGTATTTTTTATAGTTGTTTTTGTGTAATTCAATATGATATATATGTATATATGTATTATTTTTGATAATCATTCAATATGATATATATCTGCAATATGGCTTTACTTTATATCATTCATCATATCTTTCCTGCAATGAGTGTTGTTGGAATGTTTACTTTATTTTTTTATGTTTGTATTCTGCTGATTTAGGGTCTGTTTGGTCTAGTTAAAGTAGTTTTTTTGTCATTGTCTATGTACTCTAACTACAGAAGGGGCATAAGGGTCTTTTCCCTTTTAATTATGTCGCCCTATATATGATAATGTAAGCTGGTGCCGCCAGCCAGATTTGACTCCAAAACCTTTCTCTTCTCTTCTCGCTTCTCTCCCCTCTCTCCCTTCTGTTCTTCTTACTTATTTCTCCGCTCCTTCTACTAATATGGTATAAGAGCGGTTCTACTGGGTCTGAGAGCAGAGCGAACAAGTTCTCTCTTCCTTATCTTGCTGTCTTCTTCAACTGAGATCCGAAAGGCTGACCTACAACTGGTACAAACTTGTTCTTTTTTTCTTTTCTCTTGGTTGTGTACCAAGAAAAAACAAAGCTGAGTGTCGTCAGAGAAGTTGTGAGGTTCTAACCTCTTTTTTTATGGATCGTGTGATCCCATACCTGAAAACAGAAAACCTGTAGGTCATGGATGACCTATTTTTTAACCTTTGTGGTGTGATGGTACTGTTTTATGACCCCTCCTGGTAGTCAATGTGTTTGGATGGTCTGGAAGTTGGTGAATTGTGACTGTTAAGGCAGTACAACACTAAAATCAACCTAAAATCTTGTTCTTTTTGGAGAATTAAAGCTGGTCTGTATTCAGATTGTGTCCAGATTGCAATGTGTGCATGCGGGCTGCATCTTTGGTGCGTTTCTAGGACTGTTTTTGGTGTCAGGAGGGATCATAAGGTGTGTGTTGAAACTGAAAAGTGTTTGAATCATGTCGTTTGAGAAATCTGCAACTTCTGGGATTTCAGGAGGTCAAAATGGAACGAGTGGGGGGATGGATATGAGTTTCCCCATGGCTGTAATCCCCTTTGATGGACTAAACTACCTTGAATGGTCTAGGGGAATTAAACTTTACATTACTG